GTTTTGGTAACACATGACAACTTACTTAATTCACTGTTTATGTCATCGTTTCAGCTTGTCACGCAACCAACACAAGAGGAAGCTTGTTACGTAATAGTAGTAAACGACGGGCCCTGGAGGAGCCTATCTCATATAGAATTCACTTTGTATTTTCTTTTCATCATCTACTGCTTTGAGCAGTAATTTTTTTTGCGTGAAGTTTTAGAATGTGAGAATTAATTTTCCCTACTGCTACTTCTGATTGACGCATGACGTCAACTCAAAAATATTTGGGGTTTATAAGAAATATAACCAAATATCGAAATTTCTAAGAGTTTTGAATTGAACCCACCAGAAAGGTCTTGAAGAAGGCACCAATCTATCTGATCAATGTATAGTATTATCACGTTCTCATCACGCCAGAAAACGTGGATAACTTATTCTTTTGTGGTTTTGATGATCAGCACGTGATATGTAAATGAATAGGCTCAGTTCACTTCATAGGGACTTTCCCGTTCATCAGGGACTTTCCCTTTCATTGTGGTACGACGAGTCAAAATCGAAACCAAACGAGGAAAATTATGATTTCAATGACCATCCTTCGCGAGTCTAACCAACAATAACTATAGACTCGAGAATGAAATAATTTCAAAGTCACAGTCGTTAGAGACGAAAATTTCACTATTTTAAACGGCTCCGGCTTTCTTCCACTAACCCTACGACAACCGGGAACGTTTACTCCAGAAGCAGCCATGTTTCCTACGATGAACTACCTTAAGAGACTTTAAAGAGGAACTACCTATCGAACTACCGTGATTCGAATCGCGGTTTTTAAATCATCTTTAAGTAAGAGAGAGTTGGGTGTGTTTAGTGTCTTGATCTTCATGTTATCACGGTTAGGAAAATCAAAATTGTCTTGTTTAAGACAGACAACTATACAGGATTTGTTATTATAATATCTCATGACAAGGTCGCCTGCGGTATCATTTCTGGGGTTGAAAATTATGAATTCATTATGACGTCGATCAGCATCGCTAAAAAAGTATCTTAACGTTCCTGAGTACTAAAGAAACAAAGTACAACAAATACAAGACACTGCAAAGAATAGAAATTAAGATACATTGCATATTGTCTTTACGGAAGCTAACCAGTTTCAAGATCAAAAATATCTCCTCTGATATCAAAATATAGCATATAGATCGGAGCGAGAGGAATTCGCACCGGCGTTAGGAGATATAAAGCAGCGTCCACGTAGCAACACAGGGCATAAAGACATGCACATAAAAATTTCGCTTCCATACGATAACCTTTTCTAGCAAATTTATTTACCCGGAAGTAACAGTTTATTCAAAACGTGGAACTCGCAAATAAGAAATGGCTGAAGGTAAAGTTACAAACCCATTTCTGAAGATTGAATTTTGTGGAACTCACCGATTGACTCCTCTTTGCTCAGGTTAATGTTGTGTCCTTATTCGTTCAAGTCGTGGCGACGTCGAACAGATAAATACTTGGCCACTAGATTCTTTAAGGTATCGAAGGCTAACATAAAAGTTTTGAGGTAGACACCGTGGTTGTGGTTCATAGCTTCAAAGGACATCTGTTAAACTGTGTGCAAAGAAAATGACAAGAACCTATTGATATTTAGATAACTCAGTCGTAAAGAAAGCTGACCTTTTCTGCGATTTTGTGTCATTTGAACTAATTGCTATGCTGTTCCGTTGTCGCTCGTCTGTGAAGTTAAATGGCGGAATTCTGCGTACAAACCACAGTTGCAAATACTGCAAATGTCTCCTTTGTCGGGTAAACGGCAGCTAAGTTCTTCTCCGAGGCAAGAATAAATATTCCAACTGACAAGTTGTGCCACTGACTCAACTCCTTTCGTTTTCAGTTTTAATAATTCCGGGTTCATTTAAGACCGCTGTCCTGTAAATATTTTGCTCGTTTGTAGTAACACCAGCTAAGAATAAAATCTTGCGTGAAAAGCACGTGCCCCCCATGCTACCGGTGTATTTTTCACATGCGTCTTCATTTAAAGTGTACAATGAGTTTTCTAGAAGCCCTCCGAATAAAAACCGTAAATGAAGCACCTGTTAGTGCGATCACTGGAGTCATTATGTCAGAACGTGAACAGCGTGTGAAGAAAGATTTTCCCGTTGTGCGACAGAACTTAAAATATCCATGGAGGGTTTTTGACAAATATAGGTATATCGAAAGAAGAGTCCACTGGTTCTCTGTAAAGTCGACGGCACTATAGAATAGAAATGAAAATAATAAGGCTAGGTGTAATTATCACCCCAAGTCAGACAACAATCTCTTCTTGTGACTACTACAAGTACATTATTCAGCAAATTTCAACGTTGCCCATACATAGTATCATTATTAGAACGCAATATGAACCCCGTGAAGCAGTTTTTTGGGGGGCACCTACATACAATACAGGGTATTATACGGGTTGCGTATGAGGCCCTTCGCATCGATTTCACTTCATCAGTGTCGAGTTTCTCGTCCTTTACCAAGCCGGCCATTGCTCAATTCGGGTCTGTTGATCTTTGATTAGTCTGTGCTATGCTCTACGTCTTGCACTATTTCGCACATCTCCACTGACCAAGACTGGCCTGGTACAGGCTACTGTTTTAAAAATTATCTTTCAATGGCACCGGAGGTTACAAATTCCTCCGCCCCCTCCCCCACTCCCACCAGACCTAGCACGTATTCGAAGGTCTAAGTCGATGTAAAGTGTTAAAACTTCTTATGGATCTATCATGTTCACTGCCTTGGCTCAACTCTTTGCGCTTCCACAGACACTTATTCGCAGTTTTCAACCTGACGCGTTGGTCAAAAACATCAAATTTACAATTTACATTTTTTTTCACTGCTAAATTCTACCCTGATCTCAGTCTCATTTTGTAAAGTCGCCAATATTAAGGTGTGATAGAGTATCAAATAATAGAATGACTTGGTTTCTGTGCTTTTATCAGGCGTGGGGGTGAAGGTCAGGTAAGAGTTAAGAATAGGCCATTATGGATTGTGCTGACATAATTTTGGCACTGCTTTGAAAAACAAGCATAGTTTTGGCTCTTTTGCAAAAGTAATACTGCTAGCATAATCAACATTTTTTTTTTTCTTAAATTGAATGGGAACATTACCAGAGTCATGAATTGTTTGGTCTCTAAGATTGATTTTTCTCAAGTTGGGTTCAGTCTGTTTTTAATTCTGTAACTTCTTGAGAAGGAAAGTTGCCGTGATATTGAGTCATTCGTCGTCTAGAGGACTTCCACTAAAAATTTACTTTTTCGGTGTGCCCACAATCTATGCTCAAGAAGAAGCTGAGTGATCTCCAGGACCATCACAGCCATAAAGTAGTTGCTGATGTCTTGACTATTTAAGAACCGACATCAAGTAAAATGTTTCTGAAGTTATTTATTGTGTAATCGTAAACTCATTTTGTTAAAAATGAGTAGTCACTTGAAGTCATGTTCTTGTCAACAAAAACAGTTTAATTTGCGGGAATGTTAATCTTTTTGTTTTCTTTGCGCATTCAAGATATCGGATATTTCTGCGGGCCAACCCGTTGAACAACACTTGCGGGCCAACCTCACATGCAAAGTAAGCGCTTGCTTCCCCCACACGCTTGTAAGAGCGCAAGAAGAAAAAGTAATGTGCACTGGAAAAACATTTCAAAGCCTTCTTTATGTAGAATAATGTAACGTGTCACCCCAGCGGACTTCTTGATTAATTTTACGAAAGGTTTCTTTTCTTAAACCTAAAGCTGTATACACACGTCAATATAAAACGTTTTCTTCTTCATCAGGGACAGTAGGATTATTTCTCGCGTTCATTTAGATAAGTCAACAAACTAAAGAAGTAAAGCTAACATAGAATTAATTATGTGATCTGCACGCTTTGTTAACCGCTGCTGAAATGGAAGTAGTGCGAGTTTAACATCACGTTATTTCGGTACGAAAGAAATTTGGGAATTCGTCGACTCAAAAGAGGCAAAAGTCATATTCGTACTTACGATAAAAGGTAATTAATTCACCAACAAAATATATACAGAAATAGCCTCGTTGGCAAAGATGGTAGAGGCTTTGTTTTCCGTACCCGATTTACTTTTTTTTTATTTAAACTACCTAGCTATCTCAAGTCCTAAAGAAACTTTTCTAGACATGAAACATGCTTTCCGTTGAGCAAAAAAAGTGTACACAGTACTGTTTTGATAGAATAATACATCCTTCGAATTTTGCTTAAGACCTTCTCAAGTTAAGAATCCTCAAGAGCCTTTTGAGAGTAGGAAACAAGATAGCACGTATTTTCACTGCTCCTCTCCCTGTTTCTAAAAATTCTCCATGATTTAGTCCTTTTGATCTGCAACAGAAATTTTACAATTATAACTCATTACAGGGCTTAAAAGACTTAAACGACCAGTAGTTTATTATATATCAGTCTCGGTGGTCTTTCAATTTAGTGAACTAGCTCAGCTTAAAAAGACTTAACAGGAGTCCTATGCCACACGGTATGAAAAGGACACTAAAATGTTGAAGCGCTACTAGACTTAACCCGACTAGGACAAGTGCAAGGTACCATTAGAGGCATCAATAAAAAATCTTTGAATCACGAGGACATGAGAGAAAAAAACATCTTTACGTTAACGGTTTGTTGACCTCTTTGAACAATGTTCAACGTAAAAGGTGAGTATTGTGCGATTAAAACTAGACCAAAACCTTGATGGATTTCTTCGACAACACTGCGTCGAAATAATTACAAGAAGTTTACTGCAAGGTAAATACTTGAACACTTAAATACTTAAAATACTTAAATACTTAAATACTTAAATACTTAAAATACTTGAATACTTAAAGTTGAAGGAGTCATTTCCTATAAACCTGTCCAGTGTCGTGCTTCCCTTGAGCTCTCCCATCAATTAACCCCTTTCTCAACAGTT